TGGTGGAGAGATGCCTTATTACCATGTTCCAGAGCGCCTGCTCATGTGCTAAGCTTTGCCTGTTCCAAGTGACAATCAGTTTCTTACCCAGATCCCGTCACTCTGAATAAACGGAACGCGATACCAATTCACCGCTCCGTGGCAAGTCTCAAATACGAAGTTGATAGGTGCTCAGTTAACGGAGCTCATACCTGTCGCCATTTACGAGGGAGAACTACACACTCTTTCACTTTTTCGTGCAGAGTATCTTATTTCACTCAATGGGATATAAGGAGCATTGTGCATTCCTTCGGCTTTTCGATAAGGGTATGTCTTTCATGTGATGAGATATGGTTGGCGGCTGCAGACAGGGGAATTTCCTCTATGAAGCAAGCCAGGCACTCTATCACCCTGCTGGGCAGGGAGATTTACTTCCAATGAGATATGACAACTCGGCGTCGTAAACCTAGTGCTTGGCTCCCTGGACACATGGGATGGCTTACTTTTGGCCCACTACTGTGCTATTGGAGCTGGCCTTTTGCACGAATTTGGAATGAATAACGCGAAGGTCAATTCTCGTGCACCAAATTTGCCCAGCGGAATGCGGATGTCGATCTCGCCAAAGAAGCGCGACCCCCATGGAAGTTGCAGAAGTCCAACCCCGTCATGGTCACCAGTGAAATGGCACCAAAATGAGAATTGGAGACATTGACTGATGATTCTGCTGCTACTTTGGGATTTAGCTGGGATGCAAAATTCATGCCCTCGGCCGTAGACCACGGATATGTATTTTCTTGTGGTGGAGCCCGAAAACGCTCGAAGAATTGGTCCATTCGGATCCCGCCTCCGAATGATATGATTGACCATGTCCTATCGAAGAGGGGCGCGAAGACATGATCAAGATAAAGAGTGAGGATGGATATGCCTTGTCATTGTTCTTTCTGAGTACGACGTGCGCCTCGGTCTCGCTGTCGTGCAAGAATTGCAAGCCTGCTTATACGGTTTGTTGGATGTTGGGTAGATGATGGGATTTGGCTTTCTGTTTAGCGAATGAAGAAGGGTTTTTTCCTCGAGCTGCCAGCGAATGTTCGACCAGTGACCCTCGTCATATCTGCCATGTTACGGTGTTCTAACCTTGAAGAAACACAACCTCATCTCAAAAAAGGTCCATGTCTTCGGACAGAGGAGAAGCCTGAGCAGACATCGCCGTTTGTATCAGGACTTCCTGGCGCCTGCAAGTGCATTGGGACACAGGTTCCTGAGCATGGAGGAACTTGAAATCGAGCCTATGAACGGCCAGAATGACGAGACTCACCAGCTATGATTCCAGTCATTGAGCTGCAAGTCGAAGTGCGGAATGCAAGCAGGGAAGAGCGGTAGACAGCACCATCAATAGCCGCTTAGAGAATAAAGTGGCCGAAGAAACACCCTCTTGTCACCGAGTCAGTGTCTGGCTCTAATGAGAAGACGAGGTTTTGTGCGGACGCCTCTGTATAAGGGAAGACTTCACCATCCATTGCAGAAGAAAGGAGGACCGTACGTGCAGCTCGGGTCGCTCTACAAGCAGTGCTCCGCGAATCACAGTCAAGCGAATGATGACATTCTGTCGGGCCACCTGAGCTCCAGATATACACTTCGATTACTTCATTCACAACCTCTATCCTTCTATCTATCTCCAGGGATTACTCCCTCCATTCACTCGCGCGTTCTCTCTGCCACCTAACTTCAATTTGCTTCCGGAAGCTTGTGAAATCCTCGGAACGTTCCGCTTCATCGATCACATACCATGCCACTTGGAGTGCAGCATTACGCCCGTGATCTCGGGCTTAAACTAACTGTTTGATACACCGACAACTTTGCTTGCCAATCGGCTACACAGGGACTATAAGGCGGCAAAGTGCTACTACATCGACCAGGCGGATGACAGGAGCAGGACGGCATATGGCCTTGTCAGCTCATGACCGGCCGAATCCTCCCGATGTGCAGCAGAGCGAACTACCTTCAGTGCATCAAGAGATCTATTTCCCGAAGGGCTATGAGGCTGGCAACTGACCATCAAACCATGTTGGTTGTAGGAGGGTCGCCAAGCTTACTTGCAATGTATGCCATCGGCTGCCCACGGATAGAATGCTCCAGCGTGTTTCGCACCCGAATTCACTTTGAAGATTACAAAACGCCGCTGTCGAACAGCTTTCGCGTATGAAACTCCGTGGCAGAGGTGGTCGGCGGCTACGACTCAATTCGAGCCCGCCAGGGGTGACACATTGTTCTCTATGTTCACAGCCATCGCGACACATTTGTTTGTGTTAGATAGTGTGGAAAGTGTGGCAGATGTGGCAGATGATTGACTGTATTGGCATCTATCTGGGAGAGAGAGGAAGGAGAGGAGCGAGAAGTGGAGAGGAAGGAGGGTGGGGCGCGTACTGCCCCGATCTACCGCCTTCCTCTAACAGTTTGTACACCTCATTTCCCGATGTATTTGTCGGTTAGTAGGGCGCCTTTTCGACAAATGCGAGAATTGCGATACTCGGGGTGCAATTGTTCACGGCGGTGGGCATTTGGAGATGGCTGCACTTTGCCGCAAACCTGGCTGCGACTTTCATACATTCTGGTATTGACTGGGTCGAGCCTGGATTTTATCAATGACGCCACCGAACGGGAAATGACAGCTATCATCAAGATTTCATGTGCTAACTAGGGAATACAATGCTTTCCTGTACGCATGGAGTTGTTTCAAAGTATGTCCACAACTTTCCGCATCATGTCTTTCCCGTCAATGGAAGCCTGTGAAAGGACTGCGGCAATGCCACCGCAAAGAGCATTCAGAGGCGTTTGCCTCTCTTGATTACCGCAGGTCTGGTCCACGGTTTGGGGAACATCCGGAGGAGGAACATTGAAATTCATTCCTGGCCCCCTCAGCAGTTCTTGTTCCTTCTGGGAAGACGCCAAAGATTCAATGAGCGGGAGACGCTCTAGTGCGTGAAGTGATCGATTTAGAACAACAATAGCCTTCTGAATGGCCGCCGTTCACTGACGGAGATGACGATGACTGCTGACAACCCCTTCATGCATCATCTACAAATGCGGGTAGTACGTGGATAACGAACACAATGGCGACGACGACGACACATTGATGAGTCTTACATCACTTTGGCAATCAGTTGATGTGCAAATTTTGCTCAACCTTTTTAAGATGTACTTTGCGGCCACACTGTCTCAGAATGGAAGTGGCAAGATCATGGTGTCTCGGGAGAGCCGGCCAGCGCCTACGGATATCTGGTCTTTGCAAAGACCTAATTGAGCCCGATACAGTGCGTTCTTAAATAGGTTCGAATGGGATCTGGTTTGGTGTGGGCATTGGGTCTTTTTTCATTCAGCGGAGAGGTTTTTGGTCAGGTATTCAATGACGCTATCACCTGGCGGAGATAGAATCGATTGCTGTCACGCAGCCGATGCCTCCGGACTCCTCGTCGATAAGGACCACCTCTGTCCTTCTTCAGCGTTATTATGCGCAGGAGTGATGAATAGCGCTGATATCCTGACAACACCAACCAGTGTCCTGAAGGACGCTCTCTGCTTGATACTACTCACGAGTATGAAGAACAAGTCACTGCTCCGACCCAGGACCTTCACTTCCTACTGTCACAAGTGATCTGGCAGGCTAATTTCCTCAGGATACTGTTCGGCGCGTCCTGGATTATAGCTCACACGGACCTTCGTACGTGTGCATCCTATCTACTCCCACCGCCACAACTCAAAACTCTGGCCAGAGACAATCCAAGGATTACCGGGGCGCCTCAATAAAATCAGTCCCTGGTCAAAATGTGGCCCTTCCTCAAACCCAAGTGGAACGTCCCGGAACTGCAGCCAAGCCAGCGGATCCCAGTCCGAACCCTCCACCCGATACCTCTCCGAGGGGAGATCTGACTACCCGTGGCCACTCATATAGATGATCACTGGTCATACAACTGGCTGTACAGGGTGGCATATCGATGGAGACAGGTGGTCTTGATAGCATACGCATCTCTGAGCCGACGAGCCCGTAGTACCTCTGAAGAGAAGGACATACAGATTCTCTTATAAAAGGGCGGTGGAAATTATAGCCCTGATGCCGAAGTTGAACGCTGCGGTACGATAGTGGATTGGGTCAAATTGCTCGTTGTCTAACGAGGAGGGCGCTGTCGTTACAAACCGCTGGGTGGATCCCCTATTCCAACCTCGTGAAGATGACGAATCCAGCACGGCCGTTTTGCGTGAATCGACTGCGCTTGTTATATCCACTCCAACATTCACATGTTTCTGGTTCGGTTGCTTTCGAAGTTGAATATTTTTGAGGACGATAAAATTAAGTGGGCAAAATTTGCGGCATGCGAGCCCAAGCCAGCCCCAGTAACATTTCATCATGGTGGCTTTTTCAAAATGTCAAATCCACGTTATTCGTGGAGACGTTGATGGATTCCCAGGAGGTGATGAACCATGCTCCTCGGGCTTACATACCATTACGTTAAGAATTACCAAGATTGTGTGGAGTCAGGTCTCACAGTTGCCGATTTTGGGGCCCAGCATACCTGGAAGGAAGGCAGAAGTGCCCGATAGGCCTCTGGTCACCGCAAGGCGCTCCGCGCTGCTACGATGACAAGGGCCTAGAATGTCTGGGGCCCTGGGAATATCGAGGCCCTAGGGACAGATCACCTCTACCAACTCCTTCGCGCTTTCCCTCCATTGCTGAACTTCTCCCTCCCCTTTAGTGGAATGGGGACTATCATCAACAATGCATGTTTGGCAGGTGATCTGAGTCAATAGGGTGTGATCTTGTCTCAATATTCTGACATCGATACCAAGCTGCTCTATTATGCAATACATAGACAACTTGTAGTCTTGTTCAGATCCGACAGAACAGGAATCTCGTGGAAGTAAAAACCACTGTCTAAACCTCTGTGCACGCTGCAGTGGATTATTTCTTATTTCCTAGGGATGGTGGCTGCAATTATCACAGGGCAGCTTCGAGGTACAGCGGAACTCTACTCGCGATGGAGAGGAGCGAGTAGAGCAGCCGCCAGCGACGTTGCAAAATTTGGATGTACATCAGACTCGCTTGGGGCGCCGCCGATGCTCTTAGGATTTTCCGAACGTTCGATTCCATACGTGTGCCCAGGATCGTCTCCTGACTTGCGAAAAGCGGTTATCGGTTGCAGATTATGCAAGATGGAATCAACCGAAACAAGTGGATTTTTGAAACCGGAAAATCCCATACTTGTTAGGTCTTGATAATCGCCAATGGTGCAGCTGGTGAAAGCGTGCGAGAGATAATTGCTACTAGGTGACTGTTAAAAAGACGTTTGGGACTCTCTTCTTCTCACCTCCCTCTCTCCTCCTCATCTTCGCGCGGCGATTCCTGGATCATTTGGGAGAACAGCACCTTCTGAAGACGAAGAAGCAACTTCTGTTCGACCGCCGAATCGCCCGAATCGCCCGAATCGCGGATGTTGTCAATGTTCACTTTGGGCTCATAATTACTGTGGCGGATTTTTAACTGCGCGAAAACTCGAGTCCGACCACACAGGTCTATCCTAGTTTCTATTTCGGTGTCTTGGTACACTCACTTCTCACTGAGAAACCCCTCTGCCGGCGTAGAAGTGAGAGCAGGTGCACTTAGGAAGTGGCTGGACTTCTTTGCCATGTGACAAGGCCCTCCTCACTTCACCTGGCACTCCCTTCCTTCTGCCTTCATCCGGCTGCCAACGATGGGGTGATTGAATTCCAGTCTCCAGTCTGACTTTACATGTATCGTCAACATTACAAGAAGCCGTGTTCTGGTTCCATCGGCTTTCAAGATATCTCATCCTTGCTAAGCGTTGCTAGCTATCGATGCCTTTCACGCGACATCGTGATGAAAAAACCATGTGAGCTTGCCAGGTCTGTGATAGCACAGTGACCATCTTGCGAAGAACTCGCAGCAGCGACCAACAGGTCCACTCCGAAAATTTTAAACGATCGCCGAAACTAATGTCGACATAATTTCTTGCTCCGGCTACATGTGCTTTGGTCCTTTTGTCGCCTACACGTTTGGATGGGACCTCTCCCCTCCCTTCGTCGCTTCAATGGTCAACATACGGAGTGTTATGGATATCTCCGCGATCGGGCCTTACGAGATGGTCTAGTTTGAAGGCGATGTCAACCAGAAGACTTTGCTCGGGTAGAGCTGATGTTTCACCATCCTCTCAAGACCAACACCAGCTCTCCTTCGCTGAGGTCGTCATTTTCCAAAGGAAGCTGGTCAAATTTCGCTTGTCTTAGAAGAAACTCTTATTGTCAGTCTTCCAAGATCCATCGTCGTGTCGGTGGAGTGCCATGATGATTCCTGCTGTCTTTTGAAACATATATCGAACTCGGCTGGCTTCGATGCCATGTGAACTGTATTTCCATCTTCGCGAGCCAGACGGGCAAAATTCCTTTGCTAGGACTGATTTCGGATTGCGACGCAACGTTGCAATGGCTCCTCAGCCGGATGGACATCGTGATATTTTCATTCTTTTCAAATTCAATTCTTGCTCCCGTCCAAGGGTATGGATATCGTTCAATTTTTCGGCCTTTCTACTCAGGGGTTGACACCTCATCAAGAAGGCCATGAGCATCAAACCCAGGCTGGGCTTGTTGACAGCAGAGCTACAAGGAGATAGCAAGGTCAATTTTGACAAAATGAACACATTGCATCATGCCGGTGACCGACCAGTGGATATAGCCGCGATCGGAGTGACCTTCGAGCCTGAATCATGGATCGCAATTTTCTAATCCGTTATGAATGATTGACTACTGGCTATTCGCGACACAGTCCCCGACGATGGACAAGCTCGCCTAGAACCATGGAGTAAAGGATGACCTTTCAACAATACAAAGGATCTCCGTCATTTTTACCAAAACCCAACTTGCTCTTGGCAGATCCGTTCCAAAGCCGTGCCATGGTGGAGTGGATAGACTGGACCAGTTGTGTGTGGTCGGCATCGAATTCGGTCCTGACGGGGCAACCCAGTGGTGGTATATCCACGACAAAGCGCGTGCACGCTCCTGCTTTAGAAAACCCAGTTCGATTCCGGATCCAGAAGGGAACCTTGCAACAATATTAAGACCTATCTGCAAGTTATAGCTGCTCTTCAGCCTGCCTTCAAAAACCGCAACCTAGAGCCCTGCGGTGCTTACCCACCTCAACGCCTAGAAGGTCTCGAGCTCGGGAGCCAACATCACTGACCACCTAAGAATATGAGGACAAAATCCCTGGCCCAACTCAGGACCTTTACTTTTTCCTGTCACAAGTTACTGGTCAAGTCACCCTTTCCAACAAACCCTTCGCCGGCACTTTGCACACTTCAACCTCCCGTTGAAGTCGAAAGCTAAGTTAGCCTGGCCAGAGCACGTTCGATACCGACTTTGGACACCAATTTCAGAAAGCTGAAACTTTCAGAACACCGCAAACTTGCCGAGACCTGGTCCCGAGTAAGCTACTGATCGGGGGTGTGACGGGCCAGAGCCCGGTGGTAAACCATGTGCCATGGCCTTTCGGACACCGTCTTGGCAGGAGGATTCCAAGCGATTCCATAACGAGGTTCTAGAGGATTTTATCCGAAACGGGACCAGCACTCTTAAGGACCGCGACCGACTCTTGTCTCTTCTTCTTTCTTTCCTCGAGATTGTTGTAAACTGCATGTTGGCCTAGTACAATTGAATCAATTCTGCTACAGCCCTTCACAGGGGGTGCCTGGGCAGGATGCGTATAACGGAGAAACTACCGGGTACTTTTACTTCCCGCACGTCCTCCGAGTGCGTTCCCAGATATGATATTCCACTATTGGAACTAGAAATTTTCACCCGCAGATTCAGTTATTGAATCTCCACCTTCCGCCTCGCCAGTGACCCGAACCAACGAACATCGTGCCTCTCCTCCTACGTCCCAACAACATGAGCTTGGGTTATTCGGATTGGAATGCGACAATACGATTCCTTTTCTCCCCAGTTACGTAGCAACGTGACTATAAACCTCGATGTCCCAATGTGGTCGCCTACATATGAAACTAGGATCACTCGGGACGAGCCGATGATTGTAGAACTTTTTGCTTCCTGAGTAAAAATGGAGGATATGTGACGGATGAATCTGGGAATAGCCTCATCTCGTGGAAGAGTGCCTGAGGTAACCGCCGTGACCTGTTTACCACGTTCCAACCTATCTCCACCACCGTCAAAACCGGAGATACCTATTCTAAGGTTGAAGGCATCGGAAATGCTGTCATGCAGGTTGCAGACCCGGTCAGCGGAAGCCCGGTCAATTTGACCATGATCGATGCAGTTTACTGCCCTGGCTTCCACACGAACCTCGTTTCCCTCGGTACAATCAAGGAGAGAGGATTCTGCTGGGATATGGACAAGGACGTCATCCTGGCACCTGATAGCACTGCCATCGCGAGTTTGACCTATATCCCTGCGAGCAAACTATGGCTATTCGATCAACCTGGACTGCAAAGCCCCGCGCATGCTACAACCCGTCGGTCTGAGCAACCCCTTGTCTCCGAGGCCCCTGCAGAGATTTGGCACCGGAGATTGGCTCACATTTCCCCGAAGGCAGTCCAAAAGGCCACAGAAATGGTTGAAGGAATCAAAATAATTTTGGGTCGTTTGCACTAGTTACGCGTTTGCTGGTGCGCGTTCGCTGGGTACTTAAGCCCTCTTTTTCTGGCCGACTTTCTTTCTTTCTCCTTCCTTCTTTATCTTTGAGATTCTCGTTCTGTAGGCACTGAATGAACCTGTTTCTTTCGAACGGCCCGTAACAGGATACTGCTCTTACCTTTGAAGACGTCCGCCTGAAACACCCATACGGGAAAAGGCTCAGGCTGTTGCGGGCCGTTCGAAAGAAACAGATTCATTCGGTGCCTACAGACAAGAATCTCGAAGATGAAGAAGGAAGGAGAAAGAAAGAAAGTCGGCCAGAAAAAGAGGGCTTAAGTACCCAGCGAACGCGCACCAGCAAACGCGTAACTAGTGCAAACGACCCAAAATTATACCTCAGGCACTCTTCCACGAGATGAGGCTATCCCTAGGTTCATCCGTCACAAAAGTCAAGAACCTCTACAAAAGCGTCGCTGGTAGACAAAGGAACAGCGAGTTCTAGTTCAAGTAGATCATAGCTGGACCGATAGACGCTGCTGTGATGTCGATACCATAGCATACGGTGCGGGGCAAACTATGGCCAGTCAGTTGACGAAGTGCTTCAAGTCAGACATAGTAAAGCTGACTAAGTTCAGCTCCATGCACCCAGCATAAGCTTTCTTACAGAATGTCTGATTTGGGGTCATCCAGTTGTCATGAATTATCCTTCTAGGTCGCTGGCCAAACACTTTAGCAAACATGTTGCTTACGCACACTCTATGGCTAAGACGTCAGATGCTGAACTTAAGGTGCAGAGGCATTTGGATACTATTAGGAGTCTTGGACGCTAAATCACAGACAGCGTACTACGTCTTAACAAAATTATAGAGGGTATAGCAGAGGAACAGCGGAAGCTAATAGAACTACTTTGCTAATCTATGAGGATCACAACTGACCCGAGTGTATCGGGCAGCAAATCTAATATACAGTCTACACGCAAAGTGTAACGACTACGGGCTCACTAATGTGGTCAATGTATTGTCTGAGTTTACACTAGAAACATTCAACCTCAAAGAGATCTAAGTGAAGTCCTACAACACAGGATACAGAAGCTCCAGGACCATTAAGAGAATCATGCTAGATAAGCCTATAAGGGTCTTGGCTGAGATTCAGTACAGAGTAGGTAGTCTTAAGAAAGCCAATGTTGAGGCTTCCTACAACCTGCTCCGACTCATGTGTATACCTGCCTAGTAAGATAGGTAGCACTGACTTAGTGAAACCTGTAATAACGCCTCAATACATGATACAGCTATTAAACGATCCTCATTATAGGACTATGACGTCTAGAGTGAAAGAAAAAATGTGGAGACTAAAGACCATCCGTTGTATGATTCACACCCCACACCAATCCGCCTTAGCCCACATCATACACCCTCATTTGCTATTGACGTAAATCACCACCCATCAACCCTCCTCATCCTCAAATGCATCCCCTCAACCGGCTTCGTCGTAACAGCACCGGCAACATGAATCTCCTGCTTAGGATCTTGCATCTCAAATGCAAACCGCCCAACAACACCCGCCACCGCACACCGTAATTCCGCACGCGCAAAATCCTTCCCGATACAAGCCCTCTGCCCATGCAAGAACGTAATCTGCGCAAAATTCGTACTCGCGCCCCCGTTATTATTCGGCGTCATTTTTCCACTTGCGTCTGTATCAATCCATCGCTCCGGAATGAATGAGTCACCGTCCGCCCAGAATTCAGGCGAGCGGTTTATGGCATAGGGGCATAATATGATGCGTGTTCCCTTGGGCACTTTCTTTCCGGCCACGATTGTGTCCCGGATGCTTTCGCGGATTGTGGCAGGCACGGTTGGGTAGAGCCGTAAAACTTCTTGGCATACGCCGTTTAGCAACGGGAGGGATTCGAGGTCTGTGTGGGTGATCGGGCTGTCGCCGGTTGGGATTTGGGAGCGGATTTCAGCGCGGACGCGTTCTTGGTAGTCTGGGTAGAGGGTTAGGAGATAGCAGGCCCATGTAAGTGCTGCGGCGGTTGTTTCGTGCTATTTACCCAGTGGGTGTTAGATTTAGATTCTGTTGAAGGTTGGAAAAGGGGGAGAGAGAGAGGTGGGAGAAGGAGGGGGGGAGAGACTTACGCCCGCAGCAAGGAACGTCAACATCTGGTCGACGAGTTCTGTGTCGGAAAAGTCGCCGCCCAGCATCATTGTGCCCAGGATATCGGCTTCGAGGTCCTTGGCCGAGGCCTTGGACTCGGTCAATGCCACGCGCTTTTCGCGGACGATGTCATTGCATAGGTTTCGGAGGAAGCCCGTTTCGTTTGCGACGACTTCGTTTAGGCGCCATGGTACCCGCTGGGCGATCCATTGGGGTAGGGTGAAGTTCATTGCCAAAAATGCCATTTTCTCGGTTGTTGGTTCGAGGATGTTGAGGAAGCTTTCGGCGACTTTGTTATCTGTGTTTTGCAGCGAGCGGAAGTCGCGGCCCATTGCGGCGGGGCCAATTATATCGAGTGTTAGGCGGCTGCTTCTTCATCAGTATATACACTGGTGCAGTAAAATGGAACGGGCCGTACCTTGCCCAAACACCCATCTCCAACTTCCCAACCCCATCCGCAGGATTCGTCCCCTCCATCGGGTTCAGTCGTAACTCCTTCTCCATCTCCTCAAGGAAGTCATTCGTCTTCTCCCACATGAGCGAGTACATAGCGCGGATATTCTTAATATTGAACGCAGGTGTAAGAGCTTTGCGCTGTTTTTTATGGGCAGGTCCTTCGGAGAGAATGAGACCGAAACCGAGGATCCGTGCTAGGAAGTTCCGCGCCCGCCACGGCTTCTCGAAGTCGTAGGTGTTTGTGCTCATTATGTCCAGCAGCGCTTGGTGGTTCGTTGCGATTAGGTAGCTTTGGCTGATCGTGTCGCGCATGTGGATTAGGCCGTCGTTGGGGATTGTTTTCATCCATTCTAAAGGTGTGCGACCTCGTGGGCTGTCGAAGATTATTTTTGCGTGGTTCATAAATCCCTGCCGCTGTCAGCTTTGATTGGGTCTACAAATGAGGGGGAGGCTTACCGGGATCGTGGGCAGGTGCCGGAGCGGGTTGAAGAGCAATGGCCAGACGATGAGGCTCCATATGCCCTTGAGCAGGACGTTGACGCCCAGCGCGCCGAGGATGACGGTGCGGAGCGTCTCGTCTGCGAAGATCGTGCGCTGAAGGAAGAAAGCCTCTACGAGGGAGAGTGCCACGAGGGCGGGGAGTGAGTCGCCGGCGGCCATTTTCGTGATGGTTGAGGAGTGAAGATGAGAGCGATGCCGCGGTGGATGGAGCCCCGGCTGATATACTCCACCGATCGGCGTCTCGGTATGCGTTCACAATATGCGTTCACAACGTTGTCATTTAATCCCCGAGGTGTGATTAGTGAACGTGCGCCAGTGTATAACCACTGGCAGTCGGCGCTGCTGAGACCTGGGGTAGTATGGGGAAATTGTTAGGTATGCTGTCATCGGGATTTCTGAAAAAGGTAACCAGGATGCCGCCCGAATAAGGTTCAGTTTATTGACGGCTTGTGACCGTGATATCATCAAAGACCAGACCACTCTCCAGTCCGGGGGCATATTACCGGATTTTGCTAGTGTGGAATAAAGTTGTAGGAATGCAGCGCCCAGCGCCGATGCGAACTGGGGAAGTCGGGGCGTGCATGCTTGCATGCGGGGGGCACCGTGGGACAGACAGGCACACGCATGTGAAAATGGAGGAGGTCCACTTTGTCGCGGTTGTTGGAAGCGAGGATTCCGTGGTGAATTTGTGGTTGCGGGTGTGGCCGGTTATTGGTGGGCGATCCCCAGTGTGTGGGGCATTCTAGTACATTCGGAGAATATGAATTGTTGAGATCGAGTGAAAGAGTTGGATCGGATGGTCAAGGAGATGAGATGGCAATGGAATGTTGGATCGTGTGGGATATTGGCAGGTGTGAGGTCGAGTGTGAAGTCGAGTCGGAAGTGGGAAGAAATGGAAAGGAGGACTCGGCAGTATGTGAGGTCATGTGCGGCTCAAATATATTTCCGCAGACCACACTGCGGCGTTATACTCTACGTTCCAGGCAACACAGCGACGCGCGCGTTCAATTGTAACGCGATTGGTCTAAAATTACTGAGTTAGTGTCATCGGAATATATTCAGGTCGCACAACGTTATCAGATCGATCACGTTACACAGCATCCATGTACAAAGTACGTCAAACCGGGTATATACAGCACCTCTAGCTTCTACTCCGCCAACTCAGTCAACCAACTCTTCACCTTCTTCCCCTGCAGAGTCTCCGTAGAATCACCCAGATACAAATTATAAATGGGCGCAACATGACACTCACGATGCCCAACAAAAAGCTCAACCTTGCCAAACCCCTTCTTAAACTTGCCCGCGAGATCCTGGATAATAGGAAGCAGAATCTCATTCCCACCGCCAGTAATCAACACCCTATTCACAGGGAAATCCTTATACCACTCCACCGGCGCACTCGACAAATCCGTGTAATGATCCCGCGTAGCCCGCCCGATATACGCGCTCGCCCACGGCTGCGCAACGGCCTGTGTGATCAGGTCTCCGCCATGGTAGATTTCCTGGTCCGGGAACTCGGTGTCGAGTAATGTCCATGGGGCGATCATCGCGGCGCCGCCTAGGTTCGCCGAGATTTTGAGCGGTTCGATTTGTGGGTGGGGGGTGTGCGAGGTGCGAAAGGACGCCGCCGACTAGATTCCCGCCTGCGGAATCACCGCCTAGGAAGACGGTGCCTGGGTCCCGGCCGTCTTGTAGAATGTATCGCGCAGCCGCGACGGCTTGTTTTAGTTGGGTTGGGTAGGTGGCGAGCGGGGCGAGGGTGTAGGTCAGCGAGAAGACGGCGAGGGATTTGTTTGACGCCGCGAGGGTTTGGATGAGCTGGGCGTAGAATTTGAAGTAGCCCATGTTGGCGGGCAAGCCGAAGCCGCCCCCTAGAGGAATTAGTGGTGACCGCAGTGCATTGAGGACTGATGACTTACCGTGGTACCAGATGATGACGTTCTTCGCATTGCGGTCGCCAATCCAGTGCCCCAATGCACCGTGGCCCAGCTCGACCGTCTGCGCCGGCACACCTGCCTTCTTCGCGTACTGCTCGTATACCTTGTTGGATGGGGGCACGGCGTACTGCATCTGCGACGGCGACAGCCGTGCTGTCACCTTGCGGAAAATGGCGTAGCCGACATGCAGAAAGAGCGTTTTGGCTTCGCGCTCGGTGCGCCAGAGGCCGGTCAGGATGGCGTAGAAAGCGGCTAGGCCGATGGAGGCCAGCGCTGGGAGGAAGTCCAGCTTTTGCTGGAGGGTGAGTTGGACTTTGGAGAGGGACATTTCTGATTAGCGGGGGGTGTCTCGCTGGGTGTGAGCGACGAGGAGGGTAGTCGTGCCATTGTCGCGATAATAAGGCGATCGCGTCGACCTCGGCGTTGGGTGGAGGAGTGGTTCCTCGGAATGGAGAGTGTGAAAGAAATGTGGAGGTCGCACTGCTATCCGCTTTGAGTAAGGATGCGCGCCCAATTTTGGGCCGAGGTTTTTTACAGTTGCGATGGCACAGTACAGAGGGAAAGGAAATGATGATATAATTACATATTATCAGATGGAAAGTGTAATATTGTCAATTATGCCGATGCAATCGTTGCATATTGTGTGGTACCCCAAGGTATAGTACTACCAGTAATTGATATTGCTCGGGTGTTCCACAGGTACCTTTTTTCCCGATTGGGACTGATTATGTGGTGACTCAGCATCTGGAAAGAGAAAGATATCACCGGCCGTCGCATACCCTAAGCACACTGAGGGTGCTCCAGTCGTTCACACATGATCCACCGATCGCCGTGAAACCGAGGCATGTGCACCATTTAAGACCGTCGCGCCCCAGCTTCTCCTAACACTCATCGCTCTGTTTCTGCTGCTGTCGCTGTGTGCTACTGCGCCACCATGAACGGCCACGCAATGAACGGCAACAGCCACACCTTCGACGTCATTATTGTCGGCGCAGGCATCTCCGGCATCAACGCCGCCTACCGCGTCCAAGACCAACTCCCTGGCACCTGCTACGCCCTCCTCGAAGCCCGCGACGACCTCGGCGGCACCTGGGATTTATTCAAGTACCCGGGTATTCGCTCCGACAGCGATCTGTTTACCTTCGGCTTCGCATTCAACCCCTGGAACAGAAGCAATCCAATCGCAGAGGGTTCCGCCATCAAGTCGTATGTCCGCGAGACGGCTGAGAAATTCGGTATTGATCGCAACATTCGCTTCAGACATAAACTGCAGTCCGCGGACTGGAGCTCTGACGAAAATGTCTGGAACCTGAATGTTGATGCGGACGGTACGGCCACGACCTTCAAGGCCCGCTTCGTAATTTTTGGCACTGGGTACTATAATTACCACAACCCCCTGCAAGCCAACATCCCGCATATCGAAGACTTCCAGGGTAAAATTGTGCACCCGCAATTCTGGCCCGAAGATTTGGATTACACAGGCAAGAAAATCGTGATTATCGGCTCCGGCGCTACGGCCATTACGCTGCTTCCCAACCTCGCGGAGAAAGCCGAGCGCGTGACGATGCTCCAGCGCTCACCCACATACATTCTCTCCCTCCCGAATCGGAGTAGCTCCCGTTGGCTCGCCTACCTCCTCCCCTCATCGCTGTACCAGAAATTGCAGCGCTTCATCTGGATCTACACCTCCCGCATCTTCTTCCTATTCTGCCAGCGGTTCCCCGGTTTCGCGCGCTGGATTCTAAAGCTGAATGTCAGCCGTCAGCTGCCGTCGCACGTCTCGCACGATCCCCACTTCAAACCGCGGTATAACCCCTGGGACCAGCGACTGTGCGTGTGTCCGGATGGGGATTTCTTCCAGAGTTTGAGACGGGGGAAGGCGGATGTTCGGACTGATACTATTAAGACGGTTACGAAGCGGGGAATTACGTTAAATTCGGGCGAAGAGCTCGATGCGGATATCATCATCACTGCGACGGGGCTGCAGTTGCAGATTGCGGGTGGCTCGAAGCTCTCCGTCGACGGAAAGAAAATCGAGATCGGATCAAAGTACCTCTGGAACGGTGTTATGTTGCAGGATCTGCCAAATGCGAGCTTTGTGATTGGGTACACGAATGCGTCGTGGACGCTTGGTGCTGATGCCACTGCGCAGTTTATTACGCGATTGCTCAAAAGCATGGAAGAGCGGAAGTTGGCTGCTGCCACGCCGCGCATGAAGGAGGGTGAGGCGGAGAGTCTGGAGGAGCGGCCCCTGTTGAATCTCAATTCGACGTATGTTACTGTTGCCTCGAAGCATTTGCCGCTCGCTGCCGATAAGGGGCCTTGGCAGCCGCGTGATCATTATATGAAGGATATCAAGTTTGCGGTTAATGGGGATTTGGAGACGGGAATGGAGTATGTGAGGGGAGATGTGCATTTGAGGGCAAAGAGTGATTAGTGTTTGAAGTGTTGGATTGATGATTGATATACCATGTTATGATTAGAGGCGTTGGGTTCTTCGGATTTTGAATGAGACCTTAGTGATATATTTGGGTTTGACTGAAGATATGAATGTATATGGTTTTGATGGTACTAAAGAAGGTGTTCATAAGGTGGATGTAGGCTCGTATCGCGGAGAACGAAGTGGTCGACCGGTTGAGTTGAGAAGATTGAGGGTGCAAGGCTTCGACGGTACCTGAGGCGAGTGTTCATAGAGGCCGAGAATGAGGCTCATGCAGTGACGTCTGGGTCCACCACCATCGCGTCTAGCGTCGTCGATCACTTCGGGCATGTGAAGGGACAACGAAGGCAGTATTAGGGTGAGACCAGCTGTGAAGAAAGAAGTCAGGGGGTGTCTCGTAGCCGTCAAGGAGCTCAGCTGAGCAGCCCGAGTGTCAAGAAGTGATAGAATGGAATTTCACCGTTGAAAACACGATGAGCGACTGACGGTGTTCGTGAAATAACCATGGAAGTTGAGCCTGTCCATTGCAGACGCCAAACACGACCATGCATCCACTCAAGAATCAACTCTTTTCCATACCCGAGTCAAGACTCAGAAATGAAAAGTTCCCACGGTTGTGTGGGTTTCAAAAATTGAGGTGAGTCCATTAGATATTAAATATGAGGAGGGAAGAGAAAGGGAGCAAAAGTTGGAATCGCAGGCGATATTTATGATCTAGGCAGGCGGGCACGTGTTTAGGCAATGACATGGGGGCAGTGACACGAATCAGCAGCATCTGCTTGTTTGGGAGCGTCTCTTCTCCAAGCTCGAGTCATGACTCAAGGCATGATGAAAAGATAAAGAACCCACGAAGGGTGTGCCAAAACAAATTGCCTCACAGCCCCCCGAGGGTGACTGAACAGGCGGTCACCGCGCTGTGCAATGCGGTCGACGTTCTGTGGTGGACCGCCCTCATGACCGCGATCCACCGAAGCTAGGTAAGTATGAAGAAGGAAGAGGAGGAGAGGAAGTAGCGGAAAGGCAGGCGATATTTATACTGGCGGGCTGATGAGACGCTAGTCCTATCTGGGATGAGCCCGTGACGGCAGGTGACTGTCCGAAGGGATTGTGTCTGGGGAATCTGTCGGTGTCTACAGAGTGTTTGAGGTCACACTAGAAGAGATTTCGAAGCGAATGTCTGTTTTCAAGATTTATCTGATAGAAATAGCCGCAGAAATGTCGTTGATATATATCATGCCGGAAGTTGTCAACACGCCGTCCTGTCGTACTCAAGATGACTGAGATCAAATATGCAATATATCGTGTCCGACTTAGCTACTGTAACTGGTGTTGTCCAAATTGAACGGTCGGACAGAACGTATCTGATACTAACCTAAACACAGAATTCATCGTATTTTAGAAAAAACTGTGCAGAAGGTGAAGCAAACACGGAGATTGGCTACATCTCCTTTTGAATTGACATGCCGAGTGCTATTCTGCCGTTTCCGGCCGGGTACTTCTGCGATCTCTTTAACCATAAGAAATTCCTTGCCGGATGCGAGCTCCTCAGCGGGTTATTTGAATGTTATTGGCTAGGCGCCCTACGCAGAGGTTCTGGATGGAGACCCTATTTGAGTGACCGCTCTAGATGCCCAGACCCAAAGAGGGAGAACGATGTTGTTTACAGTGAAAGGGTAGCGCACCAGATGCGAATAAGATGACGACTAAACGAAGGTTTGCACAGGGAAGCGTTATTGATGAAGACACAAGGCAAGCAATGATAGATGGGGCCCAGTATCACTGGGACAAGCAAAGCCAAGAGCCTATGAGCAGTCTACTTTGGACGATGGCGTTGGCGTCAATTCCAAGCGTTTTCTTGGAAGGCCGAATAGTTTACTTTGCCTCGGAACAACGCACAATAGCGAGATTTATAGGCCACGTCTATTCGTGTTACCGTGACAAGGTTACCTCCAGGGAAACAGTCCCGATGATAAAGGTGTTTGGCATTTAGTCGTTTACAACAGAGTCGGTAGAGAGAGGTTTTCTCCTCTTCAACGCCTGTGATTGACATGAGTAGAAATGCTTGTATCGTGTGTAGTATCCGCATCAATCGCCTGCGGAGGTTGGGTATGAGCGCCGTAGACCTGCCTCCTGAGCCGGTGTGTTGGATCACATCGCGTTCTTTGCTGGGGACAGCGGCCACTTATTCCTCAGAAGAAGGTAACTTTCCGAATGCGATAGCAACGGGATCATGTATTGCTTGCTGTCGATTGGTCGGAGAGCGTTGAATGATGTAGGTGTTTTGTAGAAGATAACGAGGACCAAAGGAGAGGGGGAAATACACAGTTATATCTTCTAGAGAGAAACGGACGAATTGTCCCGGACTAAATGCTGTCAATAAACTTTTTGCTCGCCCGCTCAGTCATGCGTTGAGAACGGCACAGGAAGTGGCTGCTTGAAAGGAGGGACTGTTGATAGAAAAATTGAATCCCTGTATGCTGTCATTTTAGGTCTGCATCATCTTTTCCACCGCGTTATGCAAATCGTTTGCCGCGCACGAGCATTGCACAATTCCTGACCAGAAACAGTGTGTACACCGGCTCGGACGGGATCCAAGCCCTTCGAAAGGTATATATCACAGCGGACTATCGTACTTCCTTGCTCCTGGACGTTTGAAATCTAAAAGCTGCCAAAATTCCTGCTACGAATATACAGTCTGAGTATTGTTCATAGGGGCACAGGACAGGCGTGAAAGCATAGTGATAGCATATGTCCCAACGCTAATTTTGTGAATTTAATGGCATTCGTATGATCTGTCGTTTGTGGGTGCGGGGATCGGGCACGAAGAAAAGGAAATTGACTGGAGTTATAGAGTAATGAAGTATTAGAGTGTTTCCAAAGAGAATATTACCGAGAGGTTAACTGAACCATGCAGTGAACTTACCTTGTGTCAGCGTAAGTGACTCGGGCTTGTGCAAAGGTCAATGATCGAGGTGTCCTGAGTTGAGCCTTAGTAAGTGTTCCAGTCATCGAGGACTCCCGGAGATACATTTGCAGATAAAACGAGGGTTGCAACAGAATACTCGTGCATCTCGATTGTATTTGGATTGCTTCAGCTGCGCGCCGTAGACCCAGATCGTGAAATCTACATTCACATGTAATCTGGGAGTGAGAGATGAAATATTGATGGATGAATAATCTGTTTGTCATTAATCATACAGTAGTAAACTGCATAAGGAGAACAATTAAATAAAAACGAAAATCTAGAGAAAAACACAACAGGAAATTGCAGAGAATGATTAAACAGGAAGATTGCCGTAGATCTGCACAGGAGAGTTAACCAGGCGGCGGAAGGTCCAATCCTGGAATTGGAATGACAAGTCCCAGTAGTAGAGACAGATCTGAAAATGGGGGCCGCGAACAGAATGGAAAATGTCAAGGAAATGCTCCATTGATGTGTCCAGGACATCATCGGCGTCATCCAGCACAAGCAGCTTCAGACCGTCCTTGTTCAGATAACCGTCCGCGCAAAGATGTGCAAGGCGCTCCGCAGTGCCAATAACAATGGCGGTTCCGGATACCAGAGCCTTCTCATCGGACGCGGGGTCGTCTTCGCTGCCACAACAGTGGCATTTGATGGCAAGCTGCCGGCCCATGGCACGGACAAGGGTATCAAGCTCACGGGCGAGCTGGTCGGTGAACACGAGAACTATGGCTTGTGTGGTGGGAGATGTGGTGTCGATGTGGCGGAGAAGATTGATGACGAGGGTCTCAGAGCGGTCTTGACCCGACGGTGCTTCCACATACAGGTCGCGGTGGTTCGAAATCAATCTGGATGCAGTTTTCTGAAGAGCAGATGGGGTCTCCAGGCCGTAGGCCCGTAGAGATCCAACGATGTCGGTTCTGAGCCCCAGGACGGCCAGCCCGTCGTCATTCGGGCTAACATCAGCCGCCCAGACCGCAAGGTGCTGGCTAATGTGCTCCATCTCTTGCTCCCTGGGAATGGAAATATCGATATGTATGTTTCTGCTGTAAGATACCGGAGAAATGGTGATAGATAGAGACTTGTGTTCGATGTACAGACGCGCGGGCGGGGTGATGAGTCTGTCTGAGGGCAACGCAACAAAGTGCTGGGGCACCTGCACTATGTGCCCCAGCGAGGTGTATGCGGGCTTACTAAGGGCCCTATGACCGGAATTTTCCACTACCTTCTGGTCTTTGCCTTGTTACGGTAGAGTGAAGGGGCATTAGTGAAGAAGAGCATGCTTGTGGCCTACCTTAGACCTGGTCTTACACTTCCTAGGATACTCTAAGCCCTTAAATGCATGCCGCGAAGTGCATCCTCAAAATTGGTTGCAACGGTTGGCACTATTTGCCACGATTTTGGGACTTAATTGCCTTAAGAACAGCTCATGACTGATTCTTAACATGTTGGAACAATTCCATCTTGTTCTCATCCTGATCTTACTTTCTGCTCATATTTGCCTTCTATATACATTGTAGAGACGGACCAGGACACTTTCGTAGATATCCGGAGAGTAGAGAACTGGTCTAGACATAAGCTGTGGGCTCTACATTTATTGGGCATTGCACTAAGCTAGCCCTCTGTATGTATATAACCCTTTCTCTGAGGATACTTGATTCGTGGCGGAAGCTATTAACATATATTGGTTGTGTAATGTCCTTAAGGGGTTCAGTGTCCCATTCAGCAATTGATGAGCCGCCGTACGTCTTTATTGACCTGGGGTACTGACTCCGTATTCGAGAGCATGCTACGCCATTACCCTAGGCTCCCGGTAGCTCGAAACTTGGCTAAATGCGTCTCCTTTCACCGGTTACGTATACAGGCGATTTGATGTCATATTATGTGCCTTGCAAACTCCTGGTTCTTTGCATAAGGACATTCCAACTGCCCGCTGGGGCTGAAAACGTAGTTCATCTCCAGGTTTCGCTGTGTAGACGTCCACCGGGACCTAGGCGTTGTGCTGGCCTGAAACCACCCCCTCAAATGTTGCATCCATAGCTAGTTGTCGTCGGCTGTTGCGATAGGGCGATAGGCGACCACCGAGGGACGTGATTGGATCCGACAATTGGTCCATCGCAACGGCAAGTAAGGTAAGGAAGTTCAGGTTGGAGCCACATAGCTCCATGCCGATCATCCGTTTATTTCTCACCAGAAGGGTCCATTAGAGACCTGCCGGACCCGAATCATGAGTTGCCCAGTGTACCCCTATGGGATTTGCTTGTGGATCCACCCCATGTAGGTGGGTCCAAGGAATTGTTGGTTCTGTTTATGTGATTTCAATCCTCGTAGACCCCCGAATTCTTGCTCAGGCACTTTAGGATCATTTGTGCTTGTCGCGATAGGAAGCGACACACCAGGGGTAGGGAGAAGTCAGTATACTTTGGCTCACCAATACCGCAACGGCACCTTCAGAATGACGAATGTATTTTACGGGTCTCTCAAGGCTTGTGTCGTGGACAGTGCTTGCTTTGTGGAGACCTGTCAATTTCCGAAGGCTTGAATATCCGGAGGGACACGTCTCTTGTAATACGACGCTGAATAACGCTTTCTAATCAATGTTACAGCCTTAAAAACACCTGCCCCAGCTTACGCCGGGGCTAATGAGTGTTTTAACCAGACCTCCACCTGTTGGGGACCAGTTGTGCCCGCCTGGGTGTTCTGTCGAGTTTGCAGGATATGCCAACAGACCAGTGCTCCGTAGACGCTTTGCGTACCACGTCGCGGCATTCTTGGCATTGCTCAGGCCCAGTAGCTTGATTATCCTAACCGTTGTGAACGACCGGCATAATGTCCCTCTTCTTGCGAAAAGTTTGTTCGTCTCTTCCACGCCATTCAGTATGTTTTCACAATAGTGGTCTGGCTCTTCGGGAGCTCCGCTTTCTCGCCTTTTGGGCTATAACTCGACATCTTTCTGTGTATCTGTTTATCCCATTGAAACAAAAGAGATGCGTGATGAGAGATCTTTGACACAATACCGGCGGGAATTTGCCTTGAAGCCACCCCAAAGGGAGTGCATGGCCACGGATGTAAAGAGTCTTCGTTGAGCGCTCCTCCAAAGGTAGTCTATCTTTCTTTTTCTTTTTTAAGAAAGACAGTGAAAATATCAAGCAGCTTATGATTCAGCGATTGGTTCTCCAAAGCGCTTCAGAACAGACACAGAAGACACGGTAACACACCACGACAAGCGTTTGCAACTCTGAGGGGAATGTCGGTATGAGTAAATTTCACGAGACATTTCCAGGCCGAATATCGAGCCCATGTCCTGATATCAGACCTCCATTGGGGTTCTAGATAGATACTCTCCCATCGAGGAAAATTTCGGGTAAGGGTGCTTGAGAGGATGGAAATTCTGATACTGTATTTCACCTTTCGCGTTGAACCCAGCGGAGATCATGACGTTCGTCGGTGAAACATAGCGTGTAACTTCCGTGCTACTGTTCGTGATCGACAAGAGAGTTGACCGATATATATGAGAGTTTCGGAATTGTCAGTGTTGTCAGCCGGTTAATACCGCGTCTTGGCTTGACCTGAGTCTGGCATTGGTATGCCAGAGGCATATAGTTTTGCTCATTGTTGACGAGCAAGGGCTAGCCATTTTATACTTCCAATTCGACTCGGTCCCTCTATGGCTCCTGGAGATGCACTGCATGCCCCACATGTCCCATCTGTTCAGAAACCACTCGTGTAGTGTCGTTTTGTCGGTGCCGGTGGGAATATCGTTCACCGAAACGAGTGAACCTTCCGGGAGCCATAGAATCTGGTCAATTTTCATCTTGTGTTGACTCAACATGGACACTTTGCGTCCTTGTTCCTCTCAAATCTCTCTTCATTTGAACTCCAAGCTAGACCTTCGAAGGAAAACTGTGTTCCATTCATTCATAGATCAAGGATTGCGTTTTTCCCTCTCGCCGAATTGTGTATTCGGGGACAGCGCATCATGATTGAACGAATGAAGCGGAAAGCCTTGTGCAGTCTGCTGCCAGGTGTAAACTTGACAGTTCTCTAGATTTTCCTCATAACAGCCTGGCCGTGGTCATGACTAAACCCCGTTATTTGTCACAATCAGACTTCACGAGCGCTGCAAGCCAACACCAAGACAAAGAATGAGAAGGGCGAAAGGGAGGTAAAGACATGTCATAGACCACCTCTTTCCTGGAGCAGGCTTGGAACCGTGCCATGACCTCATTCTCGCTGGATCGGAGCTTTGATATGTACCACCGGCGGACTTATACCAAACAAGCCAGAAGGTAGCACCAGAAGCATGAAACCCACAGCATGATCGGACTGTGACATGCTCCTTTTGCGCTGTATCGTTTTCAGGCGGAGTCAGGACCTTCGTTACCTATGACAACTGTGGAAGTCGGCTCGGGAACGCGCGGAGGCAGACAACCACAATTGAATATCAGTCGTCCCGAACGACCGACAGTTGTTTTTTTTCGAGGTCCCGTATTCCCAAAGACTTAAAATTGTCCCGGATTTTTCCTGGTATCCTGCGATACGGATCGCACAGAGTTCTTCAGTTGCCGAGCCCACCTTAACACGTAGGTTTCTCTAGGCCTCAGAGTAACTTCTCCCCTGTGGTTTCCACGCAAAGAATGTCATGTCAGTGCCTCTCACTGTCTCGCATGTCGGCCGAAGGAAAATTCGTTCAGTGCCTTCAAAATGCTCGAAAAATGGAATCAGGCGAGCCGCAAGATTCCTGAGTTATCAGACCCCTTGCGCAATGTATGCCATCCTGCATTAAAGGAATATCGCTCCCAACTGAAGATTGGCAATTAGCATCCAGATCCTGGATGCCTCGCTCTTCAACCGGTAAACATGGGCCATGGGTGTCATTCGTCCTGCGAAAGCTCAATTATGAAACTGAGAATGAATGTCATTTTATTTTTGACCTTGGGGATCGTAAGCTTTTGGATTTAGTGGGAAGTCTCTACATACATAGATTTGGACAGATGACCGTTTGGTAGGGAAGCCGTTTCCGATCGACGTATTGCAGGAGACTGATCGCGAGCGCAATAGACGAGGAAATTGGCGACCTCAATCGATCCGTAGTATCCGTATTTATTGAAATGAATGCAGTTCATCCTTTTACATCATACCGTTGAACGGTGAGCTCCCCCACATTTTGCCGCTTACAGACGGTCGAGGCGTAGCCTGTCAAACAGAAACCTGACACGCAGAGTCTGGAACAAAGATGCGTCAGGCAAAGCAATCATTATGTAGGGGCGCCACGAGCAGCGACCCCTTCCCTCTTTTCCTTTTTCGACAAATTACGTTGTTCAGAGTTTGGCTATTCCCACAACGTCGAGGAATGCCAAGTCGCTTGGGAGTAAGGATCCAAGCAGAAGACAGACAGCCATATGAATGGAATATCCATGATCCCAGATGCTTGCCGCGCGGAGACGAATTGAGAAATGAGGTATCGAACCTTCTTGATCGACATGGTGGACCTAATTTGCGAGAGGCCAACATGTTATAAAATAAGTGGATGTCAACTCTGAACTATTCGAATTTGCGAGTCGATCGTTGATGCCGCGAGGACTTAAGAGATTAAATGCCTTTCCACGAGGACGAAAGAACGGATTAGAGCTGTGAGCGTCGAATAACGCGCAGCGAAGATCGATCATGAGGATAGTTCTAGCTGATGAGAATTTCAGATGTGAGCTCGTCAGAGTAGGAGGATGAGGAGGAATGAAATACTCAACTTATTTCAAAAAAAATTGTTTGGCTGTCGATTTCAGCGGAAATCGAGTTGAACAGAACTTGGGTGATGCGCCGGTGTTTGTGAAAGCTCAATCGGTGTAGCCTCGAACAGTCCAAAAACAGTGCGAGGCGTTGTAGATCCCCCAGTAATGGACTTGAGTAAGCCGGTGTCATCCATGGCACTCGGAATAGATTGAAGAGTCTTCGATAGACATTCGGATCGGATCGTGTCCTGGGCTGAATTTGTGGAAGGGCCACTTTGATAACTGAGAGTTTGAGATGTACAGGATGATCGTGAACGGGTGAGAAGCAGGTGTATTGGCTATCTGCTGCTATCTTCTGCTATCTGAGAGAGAGAGAAGAGGAAGGAAGAGAGACCGTGGGAAGTGAGAGAAGAGGTACAGAGTCAGGTGACTGTGGTGACTAAGTGAGTACCTGATGTATGTAAGCTCAATAACCGCAAACATTCACGTCATGAAGTACTCATGTATAAGGTGCCAGGTAGGCAATTCCTTCACATGTGACATTGAGGTTCTTGGTGTTCGGTTTATCTCTGTAGAACTGCAAGCAAATACGACTCGAACGTTGGGTGTGCTATCATTTGAATCGCGGAATTTCCGAAGGAAAGAGGTCGTATAATGCCTAGTTTTGTACCGGAATGGTTACAGCAAAGGGAAGGCCATTGTCATGTTGTGTGCAAACACTGTTCGAAACACCTGTAGATCGAAAGGCAATGCGAACCTCATAGCTTTGATAGACACATTGTGAGGCATGCTATTGTCCCCCAGGAAGGATTGAAGTGAGTTGCTCGAAGTATTAGGAGGAACGACCGGGCATGAAGGATGCGAAATGCGAACGCTAAAAGCATCTTCTGAAATGAATTGTCAACTCCAATTTTCATTGCGACGGGGCATCATACTGACAAGCCTCCAAGCCGATGAACTCGCATGCGGACTCTTGCATTGACAGTTGCTGCAAGAATTTGAAGCTTCCTGACAGTTGTCACATTGAGGACTGTCATGTTCGCGGATAATGGGCATCCGGTGGCTGTAGCTAGAGACCGAGGCGAATGATTAGCCCTCGGCACTGGCGATAGCTTTCCTCGCGTGTCAATAGCGCGATTTAAATATTCGGGAACTGTCAGCGTTGCATTTGTCGGTAAGCTTTTCACTGTTCGAAAAGTGATCTGCGTCAGGCAGGACGAAGGTCTGAATGGCCGTTGGCTGGGAAGGGTGCATGGCGAAAGGTAGTTCACAGAAGATAGAGACAGGGGGCTGTCGACCTCCAGTGACTTCTCAGTCCATAAGTATTCCAGGGAGCTTTAAGCAATGTGCCAAGTCGTCATGAACAGCGCTTCCAAGGTCGAAACCACCATATGGGCCACCACAGGCTTTCAACGCTGGCAGCTGGGGGAATTATATATGCAGACAACATGATTACCTGCCCAGACACATTAACAGCAGTATGATGTCCTTCATTTGCAAAGGGGAGGAGGTGCTCGGTCTCGTTGAACGGACTTTTCGAGGGTTTCTATCCATGTAATATCTATCACGATCATTGATCAGAACTGCACAGGTATCGATATCTACGGGCAGGATGTCCTTGATGCAGGGGATGTACTTACTTTCGGACTTCTGGATCACGAGAGCTCCAGCCAGGGCAGTTGAGGAGCTGTCGCTAGAGCTGCAAATGGAGGACGACTAACGCGTAGAATATTGCTGCTGATACCTGACACTCTGGATCAGCTAGTTACTGATCCTGGATGATTAATGGACCAGGGCGAACTTACCTTTGGTTGAACCGACATTTTGAAACCGTCCGAATATGTACGGAGGTGTGACAGTCTGTCTGTGAGCGTTTAGCGAGCACCTGCCTGACATGGACACCGTCAGGGATGTTCGTCACCCACGTCGCTGACGGGCAGCCGGGTTGCATGCCTAGCACGTGACGACCCAGCCAGCCCGCGGGTATAAATATCGCCTCCCCTCCCGTATCTTCCTCCTCTTTTCTTTCTCTTCATACTTACCTAGTTTCGGTTTGCTGCGGTCATGAGGGCGGCCCACCATAGAACGCCAGTCGCAGTGCACAGCGCGGCGGCCGCCTGTCCAGACAACCTCGGGGTGTCTGCGAGGCATATTGTTTGACAACCCCTTCGTGGGGTTATTACATCTTTTTCATCATGCCATGGGTCAGCGACTTGGGCTTGGAGAAGAGGATCGTGTGGCTGCGACGAGGTATTTTGTTGTTTGCAGTTGTGTCCCAGCGTGAAGACACGGGCTACGTGTTCACTGCCACCGAGGGGAGACAGGGCTGTATTGTGATGTGCGCTGAATGTCTAATGAGTTTTGGAATGCCCTGTACAGCAATATTCGAAATTGGCTTCCATGTTTTACATAGAGAAATGGTCCCACGCCCCACCGCCAAGGCAATGCTCAAACTGCCTAGGCTAGACTCGGCTAGGCTGCAAATCATGCTTGTTTTGAACAGTCTTGACGTATGGTACGGAACATCGAACGAATAGGGGCCCGTAAGATACCACGTTTATTAAAAAAAAAAAAAAAAAAAAAAAGTTTCTATAAACTGCTATACAGACAGACATAGTCTTGTTGCCCAAAGGTTCTGACAGTAAACTTCATTGAATACGAGCTCCTTCCTGAATACTACTTTATAGAAGCTATATCTTTCAGTGTGACGGGTTCCCAACTGGCGGATATTATATCTAAATGCATATCGTCAAAGAAAGAGAGAGATTTATCTTTGCGATAACGAGATTCGTTGATTTCCTTATCTTTCACTATTATATATTGTCAGGATGAGGAATTGATGTACTGGCTAGTACTGAAGATGTCCCAACAGGATAAGATGATGGATTGAAGGTTGTTGAGATCGCTCAATCGATCTCAGGGGTCTCCCTTGTTGAACTGTGGCATGTTGTGTAAACACATTAAGGCAAATTGGGCGAACGATGAATAAGCCTTTTCCGAAGTGTCCTAGTGGTATTTGACCACCCCCTCAGTTTGTCATATACCAAAACAAGCTTCCTTCCATGGCAATTGAACAGGGTCAGGCCCTATTTTCTACTGAAGAGGCGCGAGAAGATTTTGCGCCTACCATGTCGGTCAGGTTTGGAAACTGGCTCGGGGGTTTCTGTGGGACTGGCTAGGATTTGGTCATCGTTGGTTTCGGTTGGCGCTTTAATATTCTCGAAAGATAGAGACTCGTCCTTCCTACGCCATTTGTTAAGGGCAGATTTGAAGGACATAGTATGTGGATGGTCAGGGCCTAGTTTTCGGTCACAAAGTAGAACGCATTCGCCCATTAACAGCAAAGCGGCTTTGCTTTGACCCGACGAGCGAAGGGTATAGGCGACGTTTGCCATGCTCGTCAGCGTGTCAGGATGGTCCGCGCCGAGCTTCGTCTTGCGAGTCTCCATGACCTGCACAAAGAGTTGCTCTGCCTCTTTCCACCGGCCCTGGTTCCAGAATGTCGACGCCAGATTGGCCATACTCGTCAGCGTGTCAGGATGGTCCGCGCCGAGCTTCGTCTTGCTTGTCTCCATGACCTGCACAAAGAGCTGCTCGGCCTCTTCCCATCGGCCCTGGTTCCAGAGTGTCGACGCCAGGTTGGCCATACTCGTCAGCGTTGAGGGATGGTCCGCGCCGAGCTTCGTCTTGCGAGTCTCCATGACCTGCACAAAGAGTTGCTCTGCCTCTTTCCACCGGCCCTGGTTCCAGAATGTCGACGCCAGATTGGCCATACTCGTCAGCGTGTCAGGATGGTCCGCGCCGAGCTTCGTCTTGCTTGTCTCCATAACCTGGACATCGAGCTGCTCGGCCTCTTCCCACCGGCCCTGCTTCGTATACGTCGACGCCAGATTGGCCATACTCGTCAGCGTTGAGGGATGGTCCGCGCCGAGCTTCGTCTTGAATGTCTCCATGACCTGCACAAAGAGCTGCTCGGCCTCTTCCCATCGGCCCTGGTTCCAGAGTGTCGACGCCAGGTTGGCCATACTCGTCAGCGTTGAGGGATGGTCCGCGCCGAGCTTCGTCTTGCGAGTCTCCATGACCTGCACAAAGAGCTGCTCTGCCTCTTTCCACCGGCCCTGGCTCATATACGTCGACGCCAGGTTGGCCATACTCGTCAGCGTGTCAGGATGGTCCGCGCCGAGCTTCGTCTTGCGAGTCTCCATAACCTGGACCTCGAGCTGCTCTGCCTCTTTCCACCGGCCCTGGCTCATATACGTCGACGCCAGGTTGGCCATACTCGTCAGCGTTGAGGGATGGTCCGCGCCGAGCTTCGTCTTGAAATTCTCCATGACCTGGACCTCGAGCTGCTTGGCCTCTTCCCATCGGCCCTGGTTCCTATACGTTGACGCCAGGTTGGCCATACTCGTCAGTGTGTCAGGATGGTCCGCGCCGAGCTTCATCTTGCGAGTCTCCATGGCCTGGACCTCGAGCTGCTCGGCCTCTTTCCACCGGCCCTGGTTCATATACGTCGACGCCAGGTTGGCCATACTCGTCAGCGTTGAGGGATGGTCCGCGCCGAGTTTCGTCTTGCGAGTCTCCATCACCTGCACCTCGAGTTGTTCTGCCTCTTCCCATCGGCCCTGGTTCCAGAGTGTCGACGCCAGGTTGGCCATACTCGTCAGCGTGTCAGGATGGTCCGCGCCGAGCTTCGTCTTGAAATTCTCCATGACATGCACAAAGAGTTGCTCTGCCTCTTTCCACCGGCCCTGGTTCCAGAATGTCGACGCCAGATTGGCCATACTCGTCAGTGTGTCAGGATGGTCCGCGCCGAGCTTCGTCTTGAAATTCTCCATGACCTGCACAAAGAGCTGCTCGGCCTCCTCCCACCGGCCCTGGTTCATATACGTCAACGCCAGGTTGGCCATACTCGTCAGCGTTGAGGGATGGTCCGCGCCGAGCTTCGTCTTGAATGTCTCCATCACCTGCACCTCGAGTTGTTCTGCCTCTTCCCATCGGCCCTGGTTCCAGAGTGTCGACGCCAGGTTGGCCATACTCATCAGCGTTGAGGGATGGTCCGCGCCGAGTTTCGTCTTGCGAGTCTCCATGACCTGCACAAAGAGTTGCTCGGCCTCTTCCCATCGGCCCTGGTTCCTATACGTCGATGCCAGATTGGCCATACTCGTCAGCGTGTCAGGATGGTCCGCACCCTGCTTCGTCTTGCGAGTCTCCATCACCTGCACCTCGAGTTGTTCTGCCTCTTCCCATTGCCCCTCCAGTCGGTGTGCGTCCGCTAACATCGCAGAGCTACTGAGGGTCTGTTCACCCTCGGGGCCAAACATTAATGTCCTTTGCTTCCGCGATCTAGATGCCATATCCATTGATTCCGCAATACTTCCGCGTTCTCGCGCATACCATGCCCCTCTGTAAAGCAGCGTAGCCCATTTTTCTAGTGAGTCTTGTGATTCTGGTCGTTGTGACATGGCTGATTTCACATGTGGAAAGAGCGGCTGGCACTGTGCCCAGTTTTCATATTCACCTGTCGGAAGCCTTTGCCACAGGATCATGATAAATTGCTCCTTCCATCGCTCTAGCTGTTCATCAGTTTTCAGCCAGACACGCACAGTCAGTTGCACCAGCCGATGCATTGTGAAGACCGTGTTGTCCTTTTCGATAGAAATAAATGAAAAGTCTCTTAATGTTGTGATATCATCCTCAAAATTATAATCCGTCTTAGATCCAGACGTGCTATCCATATCATCGTCACTGTGCTCCAACGTAAACTCCTCCGAGCTCGAATCGTCGGTTTTGATCTCGTATTGAGCTCGAAGAAGATCCTCTGAGACTCCCTGTCGGTCAAAAAGCTCATGAGAGAGAGCAAATCAGCGGCCGGTGGTCTTATTCGGCGAATATGGTCGAAGGATATTTGCCATGTAACCAGAATCGAATTCTTTGCCTCCCAATCTCGATAGAGATGACCAGCTTCATAATCAAGAAGCTTTGTCGCTTCGCGATCACTTTTCCGAAATATTTCTAGGTACCGGGAGACAGAACAGCGAGGCGCTCGATGTACGATGTAGCCGGCAGCCTGTATGATCGCTAGTGGCATGAACTCCAGTTCCTCCACCAACTTCAGAATATCAGGGGTTTCCGCTGGCAGTCCAACTTTTCGTTGGAGCAGTTCTAGCGCCTCGGGCTTTTTCATTGGTTCGACTTTAATGATGTCCTGGCGGTCGACAATTTTCAATGCTACCTCTCGGCTCCGACTTGTGATAATTATTGAACCGTTCGGGCTTTGGGGGAGGAATTCTAATAGTGGCTTTGTCGAGGCATTGGTTTGGCCGACCTCCGCACCCTGCTGACCTGTCGCCAGGGGCTGGCGAAGGAACCCATCGTCATCAATATTATCAAGAATCAGCAACCACTTTCCTCTCTTGCTATCCTGGAGCCAGCTTTCGACGAGTCGGAATATATTCACTGTGGGATCCTGGCGCCCGACCATTTTGGCCTGGTCGGCGATATCCCGGAAACTTTGCTCAAACCGGACCGCGTTACTTGCATGAACCCAGAAAACCCATGTCGCCGGTGATTGGGATCGGACGCGGTAGGAGTATTCGATACTAAGTTGCGATTTCCTGTGGATTGTTAGCACTGACCTACCCGCTAACCTCCTTACACTCACCCGACACCACCGATGCCCACAAGAGCTATCCTGGAACCTGGGACTGAGATTCTTCTATGTATCTCATCGAGCAGTTTGTCGCGACTGACAAAGTCTGGGTCGCGGCGAAACGGGACGGTCGATAGAGGGGCTGGTGGAGTTTCCGGTCGCTCTAGGTTAACGGTGATTAGTCAATTTCAGCTTGGTAAGGGGTCTTATGAAACCTACCCGGGGGAAGATGTATTGATCCATTATTGATTCCTACCTGCGTACCCCGGTTTCCGTCACTAAATGATATAGATAGAGATGCCATAGCTGACATGCGATGTAGACACTGCTTTGCTTTCTGGAGTAAAGGGAAGGTCCCAACCCAGGCGGAGTTCATCCCCAATCTTTTTATCAGGTGACTTTTCTGGGCGCTAAAATGTGTTCGGTGTTCAGTTCTATCTTTAGAACGAGGCGTGGACGGCTCTCTCTGAGCCATTGGAAACGAAGAAGCGGGGACTTCGGGCGTATTATTTTGTCAGGTAACTTACATTTCCATTATGACGTATCGGGTGATCTGTGGTCTAACCTAATTTAGCCTAAGCCGCTTCACCATCATCTTGGCGGTGGGGCTGGAGATAGTTTCTCTGTGCAAAACATGGAAGCCAAATTCGAACATTGCTGTAGCAATGTTTGATGCCGGAGAACCTCATCCGGATCCGAAAGTAGTCCTTACGGAGGTGGACAGGAAGCGCCCTCCTAGGCCCGGTTAGAACAGAACAGAAGACCGGTGACAGCAGAACAGATCAACCCCACTGACCGCATGGACTACAGGAAGTGAGACTCTCACAGCCAGCGTGATAATATAATTCCCAATGATGTGTGTCATAGTCTTTGACCACCGCACTAACGTTATGGCCGAGCAGCACAGAGCGTCCTGTCAGGCTATCTAGACAAGAAGCAAGAACAAATCATCACCAGAATAACCAGAGCGCATGTCAACAAATAATTTGTCTATCAGCCGCAAGGAGGTCTGGCAGCCCGTGAGAATTGCCAATGTCGACATTCCATTCATAGGCCCCCTTCCCGATCGGGACTAGCGTGGTCTGTCCTGAACAAAACCAACTTTCTCGCCCACCGAAATTCTTCTTCTTCTTTCTCCTCTCCAAACTTACCTAGTTCAGGTAGTTCGCGGTCAAGAGGGCGGGCTACCACAGATAGACTGTAGCATTGCACAGCGCGGCAGTCGCCTGTTCAGTCACCTTCTGGGGGCTGGGGGACGTATTTTCTGGCATCCCCTTCGTGGGGTTATCTTTTCATCATGCTTGGGCCAGTGGCGCGAGTCTGGAGAAGAGAGATGACATCCACACGCTGATTGTCGTTCATAAGTACGTGGCGCTACTCGACGTTCTCGCCGTATATCTCTAGTTCCTATCGAATGTCATTTGATTCTGAAGACCATGGTTGTCATCGTCCTACGCGCTGAGCAGCATCGGTGAGTTCCTGTTTGCGGTCTGTCGTCATCTTTGTCATCTTCCCAACTCTACGCTCATCTCGATGCGTCACCTTCTATACGACAGCAACCCGCGGCCCGAGACTTCCAGACTCTTCATCAAGACCCAGATACTTCGAGTCCAGTCTATCCATGTCTGCGCAGCATCCCAGTCAGTACACCTCACTCTGTGCTGCGGTCAAAGCTACAGTCTAACGGGTGCCGGACTAGTGACGGTGTCCCACGGACATCTTTCAGTCATTAGGGCATCGTCAGAGTCAACGGTAAAGTATCATAACTGGCGCCCTATCCACTTTCCTCTTGCCCTTCCATGTATTCCCCGTCCTGTCAAACCCGATCCTTTCTTGCTGGGATGATCTTATCATCTCAGACTGATACCTGTTTCGAATCTCCCAGGACCCCTTCCATATTCGCACCGGCTCCTCGAACTCCTCGCCTGATGAACGTTAAAGGCACGGGGAAGCACGAAACCTCTACGCTGCTTTTGCTGTAACCGACAGGTGCGACACACCGCTTGTACAACAGCGCTCATCCTGAAGACGAGAGACCGTTGGATAACTCGTGTGAATGGAAAGGGTCATTTGTTTAGCCATGACAATGAGTATACTGTGATGTTTCGTGGGAAGACCCTCTACACCACATGGAAGGTTCTTGTAAAGTATGTCGAATGGAAGCTGAGCGGTCGAATCATTCAATACCCACATCAGCATACGTCTAAATGTTCAACGTTTACCAATCAGCTAGCAAGTACACTCCCAGGCGATAAATCCAACACTGTCCCTCTTCTTCGTTAAATCATTCTGAACATTTCTCAAATATAAGTTCCCATTCACCAGTCCTTATTGACCCCCAAGAACTCTGCTATCCAGAATTAAAAACACGTATACAAGAAACTCAGCTAGTTAAAGGAATCTCATCGTGATGGAGGCCTTGCAGTATGAAACGTTTGCAGCACCCAGGGCCGTCAATCTCTTCGTGTGAGGCAATCAAGGTATTGGGCGTTTCTCAATCGGAGATAGAAAATCTTACTTGGGCGCTGCTTGAGGATTTCGGCGGCTGGGGACGGGTTGGATGTTATTGAAGCGTTTCTGAAGGCTCGAATGCTTGAATCTTGTTGAAGGCTTTCTGGACACAATCAGACACCTTTCGAAGGCGTCTTGAGTGTGTCCCGAACCCAGCAACGGGCTTTTTGAATGCCATCGAACGATTTCGAACGTGATCGAAAGTTTACTGGGCGCATCCGAGGGCTTTCTGAACGTATTTGAACGCTTCCCTAATATAATGAAGCGCTTCCTGGACGCCTTTCAAACGCTTGCTGCATCCTTGTCCAAGGATTCCCGAACGCGAGCGAACGCTTCCTGAATGTCATCTAACGGTTTTCGAGCGCGGTTGGAGCAGTTCTCGAAGTACATATTCACTAAAACTTTGCCGTCCATTTCCTGTCCAGTGCCACAATGTGAACTTCGAAAAGGTCGTGGTATTGTGTGTGGTATCAAATATCTGTGAGGGCAAATGCCTCCCACCGATAGCTCGACACAGCGAACGGGCTTGACGGGATTCACATAATTATTGCTCGAATACGGACTAGGGGCACGGCAAGGTTGTGATCGGGCCAGACGGCTTTGTGAGATACCTGTAGAAAGCCTAATGCAGCCATCAACACGGGGTGCGCCGTTACTTCTCAGGCTCGGGCAAACTTACCAAATCGTTGAATGTGAACATTATCTGCGATATTCTGCATTAACCGCTTATACCAGTATGCTTCGAGACGTAGCCGCGAGACTGTGGAGAGGGAAGCAGTGGTGGGCTGGAAATTTCCCGGACTCTGCTCTACCAGTATTCACCTATGGCACGTGTCAACAGACCCCCCCCCCCCCCCCGGGGAACTGCCAGTCCGTTCCGCCTGCTCAGGTATAAATATCACCTCTCTCCCCAATGCTTGCTTCTTTTTTCTTCTCTCTTCAACTTACCTAGTTCGGGTGGACCGCGATCATGAAGGCAGTCCACCACAGAACGTCCACCGCATTGCACTGCGCGGTGTTCGCCTGTCCAGTTTAAACCTCCTCGGGGGCTGGAGAGCATATTTTTTTGGCACACCCTTCGTGGGTTTCTCATCTTTTCACCTTCACCATCTCTTGGGTCATGACTCGAGGCTGGAGAAGAGATGCTTCCAAATGGGCAGGTGTGGTGGTCGCTCCTGGTGTGTAGACAGTGTTTGGTCAGTTAATGTGTCCTTTTACAGCAGACGTATTGTCTGTTGGTCCAGCTATTCCTCTCCATTTATTCCTCTTCACTCACCCCGTCCAGGTGGGCTGCGGTCATGAGTACAGTTCACATCAGACCGTCCATGCCATTGCACTGGGTAGTCAGCTTCGGCGGGCTACTGAGCATAGGTTTTGGCACTTCCCATCTGGGGATTCTTTTCATCATTCCTGGGTCATTGACTCGGGCTTGGAGAAGACAGTTGTCGAGATAGCAGGCGGGTTGGCGTCCGTAACGCCTTAAAAGGACGTGAAACATATCTTCGCGGGTTCAATTGGTACTCCAAGCGGTGTAGTCAGTGCTCTGGATCGTTTAGCTGTGCCATTCGACAGGATATCTGTTTCACGGCCGTTGTTAGCGATCCGTGCCCGTCAGAGGGGCTGGTCTACGGGCGCTGTCAGTCCCTACAGGGTTTGTAGGCATTAGGAATCGACTCATGGCAGACTCTCAATAAAAGTCCGACCTCTACGATAAACTCAGAAACAGAATAACCGTGATGATGAAGGCGTAGAGCATGGTGCTGCCCTAGATACGTGATGAGATGACGCCCGGCGGATGCGACGGATCGCGAGCAATTTCTCCTAGAACATCCTGTCTGCGATTTACCAAATACTGAAGGCTGCATTGCCCAGGACAGGAGTGAGACATGGAGGCTCATACACAGCGTGCTACGCCGAGTATCATTTAACAGGATGCCCAGCGTCAACGTGCCCTCAGAAAGCCTTTGCTTCATGTGTCACACACAGAGCAATGAGACTCCCCGCATTCATAGCCCAGTCAAACCTCGCTTAAGATATTACCGGCCTTCGAAAGGTTGCCTATGGACGGGGTCGTGAGTGTTGATGTGGTACGTAGGATCGTGATGAAGCGAGGGAGACATCGACGGCGGAAGCTGCTTCAACATCGGGACGTGTTTCTGTAGAACGAGGGTGGCGTTAGCACATCACAAGCACCATATCCTCAAGAGTACTGTATCATCTCCCGGTCAAGTCAAAGGCAAACAGCAGACAGGAATAGGTAACGACATCGACACGGCCTTGGACAACACCGTGCTCCAAGCGATGATGCTCAATCCACATACCAAATTCTTCTCCATCCTCCAGCCGCTGGCTGAAGGCATGATGAAAAAAGGAACCCACGAAGGGTGTGCCAAAACAATATGCTCTCCAGCCCCCGAGGAGGTTTAAACTGGACAGGAGACTGACGCGCTGTGCAATGCGGCAGGTGATTTGTGATGGACCACCTTCATGATCGTGGTCCACCCGAACTAGGTAAGTTGAAGAGGAGAAGGAAGAGGAAGAAGTTCGATGGGCGAGAAAGTTGGTTTTGTTCGGGGCAGATAGCGCTAGTCCCAATTGGGAAGGGTACGGATTGCCGACCAGTGGTAGCACGTGAAGACACAAGCTACGCGGAGGTATAGATCTGGTTGTAGATGGAAAGAGCAATGAAGCTGTTTTCGTGGTTCTTATTTGCTCAAAGATGCTGCTGACCT